AATTTTTCTTGAATCACAATATTTTATAATATATTCGCATATGAATGCTTTTTCGATCCGTTTACGACTGTTCGTAGGCGATCGACAATTTCAAGCGAAAAAGTACTCGAAAACGAATCGTAGACGGCTATTATAAATGACTTTTTAGCCGGGTTTTCTTCGAGAAAATATCCAGTTACGAGCTCGTTTACAATGATTTTACTGGCTGGGTTTAAAATACAAACTCAAGCTCACACACACATTCTCATTTTTAATCTAACTGTTGGCAAATCGATTACGGCTACTACTTATATTTGTGAAAGTTCCAATTAAAAAAGATTTATGAATTTTATAAAATTTTATTATCATAGTTGTTATACTAAACTAATAATATGCGTTAAGAAAAAAACACTGGTTTGGTTTTTCGGGACAGTATAACGTAGGCGCATATACACGTACATACTACCTAAACTTTACCTGTTAAAGCGTTAATTTGCAACGCAATAATTTGAAGGAGAGGAAGGTATGTGTTATTGAGATGTGTTGATTTTGTCTAAAATTTTTTAAAAACTGAAAATACAAAACAAACAAATCATTACATAAATAATAAAAAGAAGCGTACATACATATGTACAGTGACGAACAAAAGTACTGGCGCAGATAATTTTTCACAATATATGCAAAGTTTTTTTCTAATATATTATCAATAATTTTTTATAAAAATATAGCTCATACTACACAAAAAACATAATATCAAAATCTATAAACTTTGTGCAAAAATTCAATAAATTGGCAAACGAATTTGCAATTTTCTATTCAGATTTTTTGGAAAAATTCTCAGTAAGGCAGTTTTATAGCCCATTCAACTTTGGTATAATAAAGTGGATGTTTGAAGTTGCTAGAAAATCGCGTTGACTTTTGGTAATATTTAGAATATCTCCAATCAATCTCAATCGAAAGCTGCAAGTTTATTGAATTTTCTTGGATTTTGCACAGAAGTTTAGATACTCTATTTTTATGTTTTTGGTGTAGTAGGAATTATAATTTTATAAAAGAATTATTGAACATAAATCCGAAGAAAAAACTTGCACATATTTCGAAATATTTCCGTGTCAATACTTTTGTTTGTCACTGTATATATGTTAATAGTAAATAAAATATAATATTTAGATACATATATATACATACAACCCGCGACAAAATATAGCACATCACAATTTTTACCAGTTTTGACTACTTTTCTTTTGCTTTTTTAAGGTTCATTAAATTTTTATTAAAATTCAGCTCCTTATCTAACAAAAACCATATAAGTCTAAGTCTCATACTTTTTGCAAAAATTAAAAAAAAAATGTACAAATTTATAAAATTGTAATTTTTTGGATGCAGTTTAAAATGTAATATAATAAAGACACAGTTTGAAGTTGCTAAAAATACCGTTGATTTTTGAGAATTTTTTCGGTGACATCATGCATTTTCTACAATACAAAGTAATTTTTTATATAA